GGTATAGGGCTGGTATAGGGGGTATTGGGGGCGGTTTGGGGGTCTTGTGGGGGTGTATGGTGGTATTGGGGACCGGAATGGGGGTGTTGGTTGGGTTATTAGGGGTTCTGGACCCAAGAGAAAAACTTTTATTTTTTTTGCGGGGTGCCGACGACCCCTGACCGGCAGGTCCCAGCCGCCGACCGTCGAGGTATGCAACACTGCGGTTCAACCATTTTCAGGTCATTTCAGCAGTTTCAGGTGGGGAAACCTGAAGCCGCTAACATGACCTAAAGTTGCTGAAGCTTATGAAACCATTCTCAGGTTCCCCCATCCAAGCACCCAACACCCGTTGAAACTCAGGTGATGACCTGAAGTTGCTGAAGCTTATGAAACCACTCTCAGGTCCTCCCATCCAAGCACCCAACACCCGTTGAAACTCCGGTGATGACCTGAAGTGGCCAAACCTTCTGAAACTGGTTTCAGCTGCCCCCACCCAATCATCAATTATCACTCTGAAACCGTTGAAATGACCCGACGTGGCCAAAACTTCTGAAAGTGGTTTCAACTGCACCCATCTTTGATGCTTGGATGGGGCATTTGAAACCACTTTCAGAAGGTTCAACCACTTTAGGTCTGAGGTGGGGAGACCTGAAACAGTGGAGATGACTTGAAGTGGCTAAAGCTTCTGAAACCACTTTCAGGTCCCTCCATCCAACCCCACAGCACCCATATGAACCTGCGGCGATGACCTGAAGTGTCTGAGGCTTCTTAGTTCCCTCCATCCATGCCGCGGCGATGACCTGAAGTTATGAAGTTTCTGAAACCCGTTTCAGGTCCCGCCATCCACGTATCCAAGATCGGTCTGAAACATTCGTATCGACCTAAAACCATTGGGAATATAAGGGGACATGAAAATTTATGCATACATTAACCATCTCTCAACGTGACGCCTCCCTCATATAACAAAGCAATTGAACTCTCATGTTGCGATGAGAGAAACCCACCTTGAGCCCTTGCAAGGATTTCATGGACCCAAAGGGTATCATAGATAACACTGGGTTCAAGCTCAAAGCATATTGATGTATGTATTTATCTTTGAGAGTTTGTATTCAATCAACGTGTAGAGAATGTAATAGATATGATCCATCTGTACTATCTATGATTATATTGAGATGATTACAGTGTTGATGTACTAAATGTGGTAACGCTATGGGAGGGCAGGGGTGAGTGGAGTAGTTCACCAGTCTCATTGGACGGGTGATTGCATGCTTTCTGTGCAGATCTGCAGTGATCGTACAAGAAATGATCTAAGGAACTGGTTTCTGAAACATTGCATTAATGAGGCCAGCGGGCGGGTTGTGGTATGTGCCATTGTCATTGCACCCTGTTTATGTCCAGTTCGAAATCTGTGACAAGTCTGTTCGGTATAGCCAGAGTTAGCCCCCTGTTTGTGTGGATAAGATCGTGCATTGCGGTCAAGGGTTTATCTTGTTTAGAAGAATGCACCATGCATTCAATGCAAGTCTTCAGCTTATTCAAACACAATGCGGTTACCGGATTTACCTTCTCCCTTTGCTTCGTGGTTCACAACCTGCTCCCATGAGTTTTGCAAGGTGAAAACTCCCCTTTTGTAGGCTGCTTTGTTCACAACAACCTTCCGTTTGTAACATTTTAGAAGGCGACCGAAGTCTAGGCATCATGAGCTGTCCTTGCTCACATAATATTAATCCTAGTGTTCTTTTTTTTTTTAATAACGAAATAGCATGATTTCATTATATGAGCAAAAGGAGGCTGGGAATCCCTCCACATCTCAACCCGGAGTACTGGGGCCAATACCCAGCTTAAGGGCATACTGGAAAACAGGAGTGTCCCATGCTTCGAAGTCCCATCATGCTATTCAGAACAAAATATAGAAACTGGAGCAACAAAAGTACCAACAGCAAAAAGGAGAAACCTTCGAGGTTTTTCTCCTTTTTGCTGTTGGTACTTTTGTTGCCCCAGTTTATATATGTTGTTCTGAATAGCATGCTGGGACTTTTAGGTTTTTCTCCTTTTTGCTGTTGGTACTTTTGTTGCTCCAGTTTCTAGATTTTGTTCTGAATAGCATGATGGGACTTTGAAGCATGGGACACTCTTTCCAGTATGAGCTTACGCTGGGTATTGGCCCCAGTACTCCGGGTTGAGGTGAGGAGGGATTCCCGGGCTTCTTTTGCTCATATATTGAAATCATGCTATTCTGTTGACTAAAGCGATTCTTGATGTTGTATCATTGAACAGAGGTTGTATCTTTCTCGTTCACAAAGAGCCAGATGGTGCCAATCAGGACCCTGGTGCTGTCACATGGATCCTGCTCCTCCTGATGATCACGATGGTGACAGTCATGATTCCTGCTCCTCCCGATGGTGAAAATGCCAGCACCGATCCTCTTCCTCCTCCTCCTCTTCCGCCGCCGCCTCCTCTCCTCCTCATCTTGCTCTCCCTCCCTCCTGTTCCTGCTACTTTTCCTCCTCCTCTCCCTCCTTTTCCTCAAGTCACTAGGTGGTGCTGATCGGGATCGGGATCCCCCTCCTCACTGCGCTGCACCACCTGCCGTGTGGTGTCCTGCCGGCCATGAAATATCACACGATAAGAGAAGAGAAAAGGAGAGAAGGGGGATGAGAATCGACAAAACGTGAAAAAAAGGATGATGAGGAGAGGAGAACCTGCTGCTTGCCAGAATGGTGAGAAGCCGTGGCTATAACACATGTAAAATGTGATGGTCATCCATCCCAGTGATCAAAACACACACCCCCTCGCACCCGCACACAAGACACACACACACACATGGCAGACCTATTCCAGTTATGATATCTATGCATCTCGGCGGAAAAGGAGTTGCTCTGTGGTTGTCTAAACGCACACATGGGCACATGTGCACAAACACGCACACACACACACACACACACACACACACACACACACACACACACACACACACACACACACACACACACACATGATGATAATCAAGACGTATTCCTATGAGAATGATGATATTGATGACCATAGAGATCATGGTGTTCATGACATCGTAATGCTAATGATGGTTATGATTGACAAAAGTAGAGGTACAAACCTCCTACGCTATATCTCCCTGCCTCTGCATCGCTCTCTCTCCCTTGGGCTCAAACTCCATCTCTGTGCTTTTGGCCTGCTATATGACGCCCTCCTCTCTCTCTCTCTCTCTCTCTCTCTCTCTCTCTCTCTCTCTCTCTCTCTCTCTCTCNACACATCTAGATGTGTATAAGAGACAGGCTTCTTTTTAGGCGCCACGTCAACACCTGATCATCATGTCACGTATGCGACGAGTTTCCGTCTCTCTCTCTCTCTCTCTCTCTCTCTCTCTCTCTCTCTCTCTCTCTCTCTCTCTCTCTCTCTCTCAATTTTGTCTTCCCTGCCCCACCTACTTCAAAACATACCCATGCACACCTGGCACCTGGCATGCTGCTTACAGCTGGTGCAGGAACACACAAGAAAAGTTTGAAAAACTTGCTTGGTGAGCACTCTTGCTTGGTGAGCACTCTGTAGCGTGACTCGCGTCTGGAAATCTGGTCCAGGTATGCCCTCGAAAGTCTCAATGACTCCTTTTCTTGGGCCCGAACTTGGAGAGAAGAAAAGAAAAGAAAAGCACAACTCCACCGTGCCGCTCGAGCCCTACTGGATTAAAGTAAACAGCCAAACAGCCTGACCGACACACACACAAAATAGGAAAAGCTTGCCCTGCGGCGTGTGCTTCAAAAAAAGGTCCACTTCGACTGGGCCGAGACAGTCTCACAGGGTCTCAAGAGCATTACTTGAGTCCTGCTTTTCGCTTTAGGTTGCTTCGTGTTATCTGCTAGTTTCTTCGATTGTTTTGGATGTACACTCTTGTAGTGCATACATATGTGACAATCTATGTAGATAGGTAGAAAGAACATAAAAAGATTGCTTTCGAGCTTCCAGAAGTCTGTGTTATAGTCATGGGGAAATATGTCACTGTGATTCATTGATGATGCAGGTAAAACCAGTCAGTGCGGGGTCGAGCGTAGGAGTGACTGTTGCATTTGGAGTTGACGAGGCAATCAGACACGCGGAAGATCTGCTATCACAGGTTGGCCGGGTTTCAGATTCTTTCATTTCCTCTCGCCTCCCATCCTCTTCTTCCCCCTGCCCTCCCCTAGTTCTCTTGGCCCCTTTCGCCATCTCCTTCCAAAGACTTCTTTGTCACGAAGAGATCGCAACTGCCCTTACATATGTCTGCTGTAAGGTAACAGACTGTGGAAGTATGACTGGACTTCTCAGCTCATACCATAGTTGCTGTACACTGAACGAAATGGTGTGCTCCCCCACCTCAGTGCAAGTGTCCCTTCTGCCACCCTGAGCTTCTCATCCTCTATTACTCGCCTAACAGGGATGCACCTGAGAGGGATCGCTCATTTAATATCTGCTAGCCCCTCGTTGAGGGTTTAGATCCACTCACTCCACCCAGCCCTTTTCTCTAAGCTGCCTTATTTTGCTGAGTTAAGAGCTATCTTCATGCATCATGCATGGCCGTCTTCACCCAAATAGAACGCACCCTCATTTTCGCTGTATCTGGACTGAAAGTTGGGCCAAATATGGACATAATGACCGTATGTTCTATTTGGGGGAAGACGGTAGTGTGTCCTCTGGAGTCAAGCAGGGCCACTATCCAATTGGTTGTTCTACTGGGGAGGTCGACTTGTCCAGCCTCTGGGGCAGTTGCATGTCCTGGTGCATCTGGGCGAAGTGCGCCTTTTTGATAATGACTCCCACTCTACCGTGTTCCCTTGAATAGAATGTACGGTCATTACCAGGCATAATTACCTTACGGCGTACGTTCTATTCAGATGAAGACGGTAGGCTTCCCCTAATTGCAGGGGGGGGGGGGGGGGGGGGGGGGGTGGCGCGGTTATCCACCCCTTCCTCTCAACTCCCCTGCATCACTCTTTGGTCATCCTCCGGGATAAGGGTGCTCAATTTGTTTGAAAAATCTTGTA